GACTTTGCGTACATGTCCTTCCTGCTGGTTTCTGCCCATTTTTCCAATCTGTCAAGAATTTTAATACTTTCTTCCAAGGGCTTGCAACCCACCTTTCATTTGCAGATTTGATAAATCGTATTTTCTGATTTGTCATCCAAGTCATGTATAAGTATTTGAATAACACAAGGCTGAGGATTGATCACTGTAATATTAAATGATAATTATGCATCTGTCCACTGGTATAATTGACCAGCTCAGATTTTGCAATCTTCTTTACTAGACAACTTTTACTGAATGTGCACTTTTAATTCTTAGAATTCTCATCAATATCCATGCTGGATACCTTGTTTGGGAAAGGATGGAGCACAGTTTAGTCATAAGCTGTAAACCTTGCACATAAATATTCTTTCTTCCCTTTTCCCACCAAGTCCCCTGATTTCAAATAAACCTTATTATATCGGAACAGGGATTTGTAAGGTGTATGGGTCCTTCCAGTCAAAACTGGAAATTGAATTCCAGTATTCTAACTCAATCGTTAACACTTTGGAGAAATAATGTCAAACTGGGTTTTGCCTGAGAAAGAACTCAGAAGAAAATCCATAAAAGGAAATTCAGATCATGGACCATCTTTGTTTTGGTATGATATGAAAACTGCATGCAGCAGATTAAAACCAGATATTAATATTCAACTTCAAGTTAAACTTGTTGCTTTAGCTGTTTTCTTTTTTTAAAGATTTATGGAAAATCTATAGCTAGGGTTATGGAAGCAAAACCTAATTTATTGTGTGATAACTAACACATCCATCCTAGACTATAGAGGCAGGATTGGCTGCTAAGAACCTTATAAGGTCAGCAGGTTTTTTTAATAGTCAGCACACTTTAATAGCCTTTCTAATCAATAGGCTTCAGTAGCTCTGATGGTTTCAAGTCTTCTGACTGCTTGTCTTTTGTTTTTCCACTGCATTGCAAAGCAAAATCTAAAATAAAATAACTAAAACTTATTAGGGGAATCACAGCACTTTAATTCAACCCTATATATTGGCCAGTGTCACAGAAAAAAGGGTCAGTGGTTTTTAATCAGGTTTCCCGATTAAAATGGCTATATTGGCAAGTATTTCATTTTTATTAGCATGGACCTTTCTTTTATTGTTCTTCCCCTTTCATGGGCTCATATTTTTATCTGAAAGTTAACAATTCTTCAATGCTTCTAGTATTTCAGATTCCAGTCTCTGAAGCCAATGGAAAATACATAGACACGATTCTAAGCCTGTTGGGCAACTAAAATTGTGAAAGGAACCCCATAGAGTAAGCCATCTGAAAGAGGAACCTGAGGTGACTGTCTACCAATTGCATAGTGCTCTGCATAGTGCTTTGACTCAGAAGAGGAACAGAAAATGTAGAGAAAATATGTTAGAGTTTCTACTTAGTTTATGAAAGAATAATAAAGATTGCTTTGGAAACTATTACTTGCTAATTCTCTTCTAAACTTAATCTCAGCTGCTGATCCCTCCAGAGCAGGGGTGGGATTCAAATTTTTAAACAACCGGTTTTGTTGGCGTGGCTAAGTTGGTGGGTGTGGCTTGGTGGTCATGTTATTGGCTGGGCATGGCCAACTCAATATCACTCACATCGAGGCACGCATCTCCTCACCTGGTCTTTCATGACTGTGGGGATGCTGCAACAGCCGTAACTGTGAAAAATGGTCATAAGTAACTTTTTTCAGTGCCATTGTAACTTTGAATGGTCACTCCACACAAGCAAAGTACCAGCAAAGGAGGGGGAAAAAACTCCAGAGAAGTTCCTGAGACAGGAAGTCCAGTCCTGCCAAGAATGTAATAAGGGTTAATGGAGAGGCGGTTTCTGTAAGCAACACCAGAATGTTTCCTTCCTGCCTTCCTTACAGGATTAGGCCAGTAATTTCTTCTAACAACTGGTTCTCCAAACTGCTTAGAATGTTAACAACCAATTCTAACGAATAGGTGCAAACTGGTAGAATCCCAGCCCTGCTCCAGACCATCATTTATATTTTAGGAGTACAGGGGATGACTAAAAGTAAGCAAATGTTAGTTTCTTGTGAGAACCCAATTAAAAGTAACTATGTATCAGCCGCTTGAGGTAGCCCAGTTCAGAAAACAACAGTCCACAGGAACACGAGATCTATATTTTTTATTGAGAGGTTGTAACAATGTGACTATATTTCTTTTCCCCTCCATTTGATACCCTGGTGAGTCAGGGATGAGTCAGCCTAAGTGTTTTCTTTATACTATCTCTTTTTACAAGACTTAAGAAATACTCCTCTCACTGGGTTCATGGGTGATTAAAATAAAAAAATGTACATTTTTTTAAACTGGATTTGATCATTCTTTTCCTCAGTCACATAGAAAGTAACACACCTCTGTGTCCCAAGCGCTGCACTCTTGCAGGCTCTTCTAGACCAGGGGTTGCCAACCTTTTGCACCTCAGGGACTACCAAACTTATAATTTTGAATCCCAGGGGCCACACTAACTGGTTCTGTGGGCATGGCCTAATTTTTGGATGTGGCTTGGTGGTCATGTGACTGGCTGGGCATGGCTTGTATGTAAATATTATAAATATTTATATAAATATTGTTTTTTTATATTAAAAAAGAGCAACTTTTACCAAAAATCAGGCAAAGCAGGCAGGCAGATTGAGTTGCGCACAGAATCACAGATTCATTCAAAACTCTATCTAACTGCCATTGGCTTGCTCAGTTTGTCACATAAAATTTGCTTGCAAGCAAACTCATAAAATTAACTCACAATATACCATGTATGTAAATATTGAATTTTTTATTTAAAAAAAAGAACAACTTTTACCCAAAATCAGGCAAAGCAGGCAGGCAGATTGAGTTGCTCACAGATTCATTCAGAGATCTGTCTATCTGCCATCAGCTAGCTCAGTCTTTCAAATGTGCTTGCCGTGAGTCTGCACTGAATAATAGAATTTTCGGTCCTAAGGGAGGTTGGCTGTGCTTAAAAACAGAGCTGAAGATCTAAAGACTAGCTAGAAAGCAAGAAATCCAACCATTTCCTGCTTCCTAGCTAATCTAAATTTCCCGGCACAGCAGAACACCTGATGGTCGGAAAAAGGAAAAATATCACTTTAGCAGGTAAGTTTGCCGAGTAAGGAGTGAGTGGGCGGGGAGGGTTCCCATGGGCCATGTGGGCGGTGCAGCCTTGTGTTTCTGCACAGCCTGGATTAATTGCTTTGGGGGGGGGTGCTCTGCGGGTGAGATTTCTCTGCAGCCCACCAAAATTTCCTCATGGCGCACCAGTGGGCTGTGGCCCACTGGTTGGGGACCACTGTTCTAGACCATTGTCATCAATATGTAATTCAACTCTCTTCAACTGCGCACCCTCCAGATGTGCAACCAATGTAACTGAAGGATAATAGGTATAATCCATTCTGTCTGGAGACATGTGGTGGCAATAAACTATATAGTTCACAATTTCCCTCTTTCTCTCCTTTAAATTACCAAGCATGCCCCTTTAGAAATGGGTAATAATTTGAAGCAGGATTGCTTGATTATGCATGCACTCCTGCTTCAAAGTTATACAGATTATTGCAAGTTAATATTAAGGCACATACCGCCACATCATGCAATTTCCCTCACATATTTTGATCTTGCTCTGAGCATGGGACCAGAGGCAGTCTATGAAACTGAAGCTCCTATGGATACTGAGGCAACACAGTCAACATTCCCATAATTGGCTATTTTTATGAGGTCAGATGCTGCTTAACAGGTGCTACTAGTCTAATTTGTTATACTATTAGATGACCAATACTATTCAATTTCTTCCCCTTAGTCAAAGGTACCACTTTTGTCATCCTGACTATAGGATGCTGGCAGCTGCAGTAACTTCCCCGCTTTCCTTTACTGTGTTTTCAGCTATCCACTCTGAACCAGAATATGTGGCTGAAATTTATAGTTATTTCTAAAGGTCTGCTAAAAAGAAAACTGCTACAATTCTTTATATTATGATACTTTCAGGCAGAATGACAGATTAAATATTTCCTTTATCTTATGTGCTGTTTTAGTTCCATATCTCTTCCAAAGTCTGCTTGCAGCACATTCGATCTGTATTATAAAACCAGTTTAGATTTATAAAGTCTACATTTATGAATCTGCATAGGTGAACTTTCAGAGAATTCTTCAAATGCCTTGCCTGTTTGGTCCTTCAAAACTTAATGTCCAATAGTTAGCATATCTAATCAAAACATTTTGCCCTGTAGCTGAGCCTTATTACAAATTTATTTTCTCCCAAATTGATGGCTCCTGATGCCTGCTCTAGTGCTATGGTGGAAGAGACAGAATCACAAGGCCAGTGACCTCATCATCCATCTACCCAATTTAGATTTCCAAGCTTCTGATTGTCCTTCTTACTTTAAACAGTTGAGAGGAGGCATACTTCCAAGTGCAGAATTATGAGCTTCAAAAGTCAGTGTGGAAAAAGAAATCTGCCTAGAATGTAAGCAATTGATTGGAGGTATAGGGTTCCTCCCCACCCCCTCCCAGTGACATTTGAGGCACACAAACATATGGTAACCAAGCTTCCAAAGAAGATGTTCGGAAACAGTTTCTAGATTTTACCACTACTACAGCAGCTGAGGTTTTATGTAACCAAACATATTGTGCTTGCTGTCATGGGAAAGATTCTTCCTAATATTCTCTGCCAATTTGCTAGACTGTTATTCAGGAAGTTTTTCTTGAACAAGGGGAAAAAATCCATGCTCCTTTAATCTGAAATTATAGTACCCAAGAACATGCTTATCACCTCACTTACTGCTCAGATGATGACTTAAGCCTAAGAATGTGGATACCATAAAATATGTATTCAGGCAATGCAAGCCACAAACTGTGCTATAACTATTTTTCAGTTCAGACTCCCTGCCTGTATTCAGGTACATCTATATAAAGATAGGTTCTCATATGTTCTAAACCATCTTGCTTGAATTAATTACATGTAAACAAGTTAATTTCTCCAGGCATCCTTACTTTATATCCTCATCGTAGGCAAAGACAATGATAGCCCTGGCTCTGGGTGTATCTAGAAGCAGCTTGATAATTTTATCAAATTCGTAGGTCTTGTTTTTGCGATCCTGTGGGATTTTCAATGACTGGGCAATGCAGAAATCACCTGTTAACAGAAAAAAAAAAGACAATATGCTAAAATCTGTAAATCAGGAAAAAGAAAGAAAAGAAAGAAAATTGGAAGAAAAAAAGTAGTTAAAGGGAAGATAGACTTAAAAAGAAAAGAATGAAAAGTGGATTTTGGCCTAGTTTGGTACAAGGGATGTGGCTCTAAATTTTCTACATGCTTTATATTAAGATTTCTGGATTTTCATAATTAAATCAATTGAGTGTGTCTGATTACCCCTCAGTTATCTTAGAATTCATCAAAAACAAAAATAAAACAGGAAACTAAAATAAATCAGTACAAATAATTGGACCCAGAATTAAGTTTTTATTATATTTCTCATATTTTATCCCATCTGAGTCCTCACAAAATTGGGGGGAGGGCACCTTCTAAGTATCTGACTGGATTTTATGTTTTCTATCTTTGGTTTTACCCATTGCTTGGATGCTCTCCTGGAATTCCACAATATGGATTTGGTCCATTATATCCATTGTCACAAAATAATAAAGTGGGGAGTCCAAGAGAACCTGATCTCTTCCATGTCATCCAGAGGCTCAGATCTCATATCTAGGTGGTTTGTTTTCAAGTCCCCTCTTGTGACAGATAATATATACATAGAAATCAGTTGTCTACTCTACTTGGGATGGAGCTTCATGCTTAATGATAATGATTGAACTATATCACTTTATAAACTTTTCCTGACATGAAATTGCAAAATGAGAAAGTACTGTGCTTTCGAAGAAGAAAATATGGTTTTTCAGGAAAATCAAACTGATGCACAGCATAAAGGAAATGCTCTCAATGTTCCATGATGACTGCTTTCAGCAAATTTAACTCTTTGCATGCAATAAACAACATCCTTTGGAATAATATATCTATTCCACACTTCCATACATCAATTCTACATCTTCCCAACAAAGATGTTGTGAGAGGGAATACATTTTAAAAAGAGAAGATATAGATTTTCATATATCCATAGATGCAGTGGTGGGATTCAATTTTTTTTACTACTGGTTCTGTGGGTGTGGCTTGGTGGGCAGGGCATGGCTTGGAGGGTGTGGCAGGGGAAGGATACTGCAAAATCTCCATTCCCACTCCCCTCCTGGGGGAAGATTACTGCCGGTTCTCTGAGCTACTCAAAATTTCCACTACCGGTTCTCCAGAACTGGTCAGAACCAGCTGATTACCACCTCTGCATAGATGTAGATTTAGAAAATATTACACATATTTTCCTAGAATGTAATATGCTTTAACCGAGTGAAAAACATTGTATTCTATCAATATGCTCAACAAAAATTGTGGAACTTTAGCTCCTTGTTTTGCTTTGCTTCTGTTTCATCTAAACTTAGATTGAAAAGTCTTTGAAACAGCTGGCTGTTCCCTTAGTACCCTGAAATAAACAAGCCAGGCCCTTGATAAGAAATATACTTACTCTATTTCCCACTTTTTCAAATAATACTTTATTTAGTACAAGGGAGAGGTGCTCAGAAAATCATACCACATGGTATTTATAATCTTAGGGTTATTATTTTAAATCACAAAGTAGTATGCATTCTTATTAATTTCATATGTTCAACCAGTACAATCCAGTTTCCAGACCCAACTCATTGGTTTGTACTGTGGCAGTCACAACCCTCAGGTTAACTATCTCAAGACATTCCTTTGAACAGAAGAACACTTTCCTCTGAAAAAAGCCTTTATCTAAGGTTGTCCACGGGCAGTCCAGCGGATTTTTTTCTGAGCCAGAAACCAACCACCTTAAATCACAAACCTTCAATTTTTCACTTGAGGAGTCCCAATGAAGAATTCCCTTTCTACTGATGGGATCTAACTACAATGCTTACTTCTCATTTCCATGAATGTCCCTACTTCACTTGTTTGTACTGTTTCTGGCTTTTTAAATTCAGACTGCTTTCTTTTTCTTCCTATAAACAGAGGGTGCTGATTTATGGCTGAGATGGTGGAAATGCAAGTTAACTCAGACTCTCTGCATAGTGGCTGTAGTATATTAAATTGGGAGATAATATTCTGAGAATGCCTCTAGGAGTATATCACAGAGGGATATAGAGAAGCTCTAAAATGGGTGGGACAAAATCATCTGACATTCTGGGAAGAGTTCATTAAATTAACATAAATTCAAAGATAATTGAATAATCACCCCTGGGGGGCGTCGCTGGCGTCGCGACGATACGGCATGCGATCTCGGAGGTCTGAGATCGCAGCTGATATCTTTGCCCCTGGATGGTCCAAACATATCTAAATCGTCCCGAAGAGACGGCGATAGTGAAGAGCGCATCCTGTAGATCCCAGGGATATCACAAAGTCCCTGGTTGATCCAGAAGAAGCTCTTCTAGCCAGAGGCAAAGAGGCAGCCATTAAAGCTGCTGAAGTTGGGACAGCTCCGATACGGAAGAGAGCAGAAAGAGAAAGTGTGCCGGTTAGGTGAGAACTTTCATTTTTTTTATTCTAAGACTTAAAAGGACACCCTAAAGAAAAGAAAGAATCTGTAAAAGTTTTGACAGAAGTGAATAAGCGGTGATTTTAAACGGAAGTGTCAAAGTAAGGCTTTGCTTTTTTTTCTTTCCTTTATTGCTGGACTTCTATACGTGATTTTGCATTTGCTAACTGGACTGGTTTTTTTTTTTTTCTTATTTATATCTACCTTTTCTTTTCCTTTTTGATTTTGCAATATTTTAGGCTAGAGGCTCCCTTTAGTTATCTTTTTTTTCAT